GAATTCTTTGGTTAACTGCATTAGAATTATGTCTACATGGATCAATCAGAGCAGGAGCTCTTTTCAGTAGATATCTGTCTGCCCAGACCAGTATTCGTAAGGTACACAGAACGTGAGAGACGTTTTTCGCCAATTGAAGACTGTTTTTTAAACATGCAGAGAAAACTAGTAGTTCCAGTTTTACCGCTTGATGTAGATGGAAATGGACACAGAAACCTAACCCCAGAATATGAAGGGCTGTTCTTTATTGTGGACAAGGCATTTTCTTGAATGATGTGAACTTTTGTAGCATACTAACAGACAGAAAAAACAGATTTTCTGTCATCTGCCACACAGCTCTCAATACATCTCTGAGATCTTCCATTGACCCAATTTCATCTGTAGACAGACCCTCTATTTTTGCTGCCACTGGCCACAGACAAAGCAAAAGAAGAGCCAGATTCACCAGGAAGCAGAACCAGCAGCAAGCAAAACAAGGCCAGAGTTAAGAAGAGAAAAGAGAGATTGAAAGTAATGTTCTGTTGTCTCTTGATATTAAATCCAGGAGCCAGAAAAAGGCATCACTGGGCTCAGAGCATTCATGGGGCGCCCTGCCCAGAGGTCCAGCAGATATCCACCTGGGCAGTTTTACAGGATCTCTGACATTCTTGAAACATAATCACCAAATTTAAAACAGTTGTCAGAAAAATATATAGGAAATGTCAGAATTTTAACTCACTAGTGAGCAAACCAACAGAGTGTCATCCTGGTTCCTCAGATGATGTGCATATAGACACAGATATACAGTCATTGTGGAAGAAAAAGAGAATGCTGGGACGTTAGCCAGTTTGATTCCAACTGGATAATGTTCTCTAGCTCAATAAAACCCCGTTCTTTGGAGTTATCCTCACTACAAAGTAGTGATCATTTTCTCCTTATAAGTTCTTTTCAAGTTAACATCTTTTTTTGTTGTAGTTCAGTCGCCTAGTCATGTCCGACTCTTTGCAACCCCACTTTGTAACATTTTTACAGAGTCGTAAAATTTTTGGACTGTAATTATTATAAGAGTAAATAATAAGTCAATAAATATTCCATTCCCCCAGAGAGTCAGATACCTTTAGGTCCTTGGGGTGCTTATTAGATAATCCTTAAATATGGCATTAACAGGTGAAACAGTTTTTTTTTTCTAATCTCATTTCCAAGTTTAGATTTTTTTTTTCTTTACTAGAAGGATGCAGGTATTACTCTGAGCAACTGGGTAATTGGCACGCCCTTATTGTATTGTGCAAGATTAGAGAAGACAGTTTTTTCATTGGGTTGAGCACATTTTTGAGAGCCTTATCAGACAAACCCAAGCAGTTCACAAGTAAGGTACATAAATTTAGAGTCAAGGGCTGTGATGAGGTGGAGAAAACCCATGAAAATTGGCAGAACATAGAAGAAAGTAAAACTTGGAACCAGCTGAGACACGTGGAGAGTCGGTTGGCTGAAGTTACGGAGGTGTGGGGAACGGGGGTCGAGAACTCCAGGTTTAGTGATGAAAGAGAATGAAAGTCTTGCCAGGAGGCACAAGGTGGGAAAACCTATAAGAATAGAGTGTCTCAGGATCAACAGAATCAAATGCTTTGTCGAATACACGATGTATGAAGATGTCAAAAGGATGAGGAGTGAAGAATAGTAGGATTTTGCCATGCGGGGTCATTGTTTGACTTTGATGAGAGAAAAAGGCCATATGGATGAAGTGCTGGTGTCAGAGCCTGGTTTTGCTTGGTTTAGGAGAGAATAGGGAGAGAGGATGTACAGCCCAGAGGTTTCAGCACAAGGTCAGTAACTATAGGCGAGTCTTCCAAAGGGGGAAGGAGGTTGTTTGTTTGTTTGATCTTTAAAGATGGGTTGTGTCAGCCTGTTTGTATAGTGAGAACTCACTGATTCAGCTTCAGTTTAGGGGCTTCCCAGCTGGGTAAAGAATCCATCTACCAAAAAACAGGAGATAACCTACATTTTCTAATAAAATAATTATGGTAAAAAAAAAAGAATCCACCTACCAATGCAGCAGACACAGGAGACGTGGGCTGGGTTTGATCCCTGGGTTGAGAAGATCCCCTGCAAGAGGAAATGGCAACCGTCTCCGGTATTCTTGCCTGGAAAATTCTGTTGACAGAGGAGCTTGGTGGGCAACAGTTCATGGAATTGCAAGGAGTCGGACACAGATGAGCAAAGGACCAAACTTCACTTTACTCAGCAATGGGAGGAATGCTGCCAATGTTTGGTGTGTGCTGATATTAAGTATCCAAGTCTTAATGTGACCTGTACAAAATATAAAATGCAGGTGTGGGAGGCAGCAGTCAGTGCTCAACAGAGACCCCCAAAAAGCTTTAAAAGGCAAAAGGCCTTCCAGGGCATCTTGAAGGACTCAGGCACCTCTAAAGGACAGGAATCAGTTTTGGGATGATGGAAGCAGAATAAAGGAGAAACAGGCAAACAGAGGTAAATCTGTGCTAAGACTCTGACCTTCCCATTGGTTTAATTGATCTGGCTGATTAGACCCAACTCCAAACCTCTCCCTTCAGTTAGCTAACAGAATTGAAAATGCCCTAACATGTTCCATTTGAACATATGATGCTCTAAATTCTTTAGGAAACTATTCAGATTATGTAATAATGATTTTGAGCTTCTAAACAAAATATTTTATTTTTTGAGGAAAAAAGAAAAGTGTCTTACTTATTCATAGACTTACTTTTAACATAACTTCTTAAATCACACCCCACCAAAAAATGGTAATTGTTTACTGTAAAGATTTATCTGATTTTTTTTTCAGAATTTTTATTTGTTGACATTGTAGAACATTTCATTGCTGTAATTAAATATCCATGAAAAATTTGTGAATCTTCCTCGTTCATTGGATACATTTTCATAATAGAGCTGTTATAGAAAACACCTTCCTGTTCTTTCAAACTTCTCTATAACCTAAATAACACCATCTAAAATTTAGCAATAGTATTTTTGTGCAGTGATTTTTAAAATACAGATTGAGAGTTGTAATATTATTCTGTTTTCATGACAATCATGTGGAGAAAAAAGATGTGTGTTAGTTTATATGTACTTTACAATAAAGGTAAAAATAAAATCCCTAGAAAAGAGAGTTTCAGTAACCACTGTGGGGAGTGTGCTGAGGAGACTGATGAGAGATGAAAAACTATGGATTTCCAGTCACAGGTGTTTGATTGAAGATGGATCTTACAATGGTGAAATTGACCAAATCCTGTCATTTCTGTATATCCTTCAGCAGAATTGTGTGAATAAAATAGTAGAGAAACCAGACACTAAGAGAGGACTTGAGCAGTATCACAGAGTTAGGAAATGCATTCAAATAAATTGGCGAGGACATGAAATAAATCGGCCATAATATTTACCTGAAAAGGAAGTCCACTAAAGTTGGGTATATAAACCTCACAGAAATCAGTGTTAAATTGATCATGTGTAAAACTGTCTTCTTAATGTTTGGAAAAAGAGACTGCATAAAATGCATAGCAGAATTGCCGGGTTTGCAAATCACTTTAAAGAATACGTGGCTTCATGAAAAGGTGATTAGAGTAAAGGGAGACAGTATGAATACCTGAACATTGCCAAGTGAATGTCGACATGGAATGATTCAAGAAACACAGCCAGGGTTTAACATTCCAGGTTATTCTGGTCAGATCAGGTCTGTTTCCGTTCACCATCTCTGAAGGGATCCTGAGGTCCAGACAGTCCTCTGTTTTCCTTGCCGTCTGAGCCCGCATACCAATTTTCCTTTCTGCTGAAACACTCATTGTGTGTGTAACCACAGACATGTTACGTGATCACCAAGGCTTTCTGTTTTATTGTTTCTCATCATATTAGGGTCTATTCTGACTTGTATAAGAAGTGTCATCACTTAAGCTATATTCAATGATACATTTAGTATTTCCAGACAAGAAATAGAAAATCCAGATGGTGGTAAAGGTCATGGGAGCCAGTTTTTGCAGATATTTTGAGGGCACATAAAATAAGAGGGCTGTTTCAAAGATATAAAACAGGCCTTTTTTGGGCCAAAAAAGGGACAGTCTCTGTCAATAACATAAATGCATACACAGCACGATTAAGATAGAAAGAATCCTACCCCCTGACGACCTCTGCCCTGCTTCCGACTCCAGCTTACAGACACACCTTTGCTTGGACAGGTAGAGAGGTATGCCCATTAACTTTCTATGGTGCTGAAATTCTGAGCAGAAATTTATTCATTTGGGAAAGAAGTCCTGTGATTTAGTCAGATACACTGAGGCAAGCTCAGGACACAGACAAATAAGTTTTGCAGAAAGGAATGAAAATGGGAACATCTGGACCCAGAACCTGTGGGTTTGAAGAGTCCAAAGATGAAAATGAGAGGAAACTTGTGTGGAGGAGATGGACCAGGAGGGGCTAAGATGGACCAGAAGGGGAGAGGCTGGGAGTTTTGCCAGATTAACAGATTAACAGTCTTTCTTGGGTTCCCTAAGCCTCACAGAATAAAAGATGTGCCTATGAGTTGGAATCCCAAAGAGAAACCAGCATAAACGCTGTTTTCATTTTTTTTTAAACCTTGTCGTGTGGCAAATTCTGAGTACCCATTTTTAACAGTATTTTTCGCTCAGAAGTGTGTATGAACTTTTCTCAGTGACTGAAATATTTTGGCTTTTCCCTGAAAGTAACAGAGGAACTGTTGACAAAACTGATCAGTTACATTTACTTCCCCATCGCTAGCATCTGTTGCGTTTCCTTTTCCTCTCTTCCAGGAGTTGATAGATGACTCTGTGTTGACATGCTTGTTCAGGCTACATCCAGGAAACATTTGACGGTGCTGATGTGATCTTAAGAGTATCCATAGCTGTAGGACTTCTGCTCAGCTGGCTTTTCACTCTAGAATTTTGCCTGGATTATTTCAAAATGAATGAGATTTAGAGTTTCAGTTATGCTGACCTGTAATTTATGGATGCATATATGTTTTTACTTTGTAAATATAGTTCATTTACCCCTAAAATGCAAGGCAGACGGATGGGGACTTCCGGAAGAGCCATCACCAAGAGCACAAGCATGAGCGGGGAGATGTACACACTGGAGCATAATGATGGCAGCCAGTCGGACACAGCTGTGGGCACCGTCGGAGCAGGTGGGAAGAAGAGGAGGTCCAGCCTGAGTGCCAAAGTGGTTGCCATAGTGTCGCGAAGGAGCAGAAGCACGTCCCAGCTGAGCCAAACAGGTGAGTGATATGAACTCAGACATCTCAAGTTCTTACTGGAGAGATGGAGTCGATCGTCATGCTGTCTCGTGATGGGCTTTACAGTGTATCGATTCTTCTTTGCGAAGAATGTTTATTTCTGTTTCTGGAAACCTGCTCCACGTGTGAGTTTATTCTTCTTTTCTGTACAGCTGTCTAACAGGCTATCATTTGTCAACCCTAAAGTGGTCAGATGTTTTCATTCAAGTGAAAAAAAAAATTAAGCCATGTTTACAAATATGCAAGGAAATGCAAAGAAGTATTAAAGAACCAAATTGATTGAAAAGCAAGAAAAGCAACAGGATTCTCCTTTTCAAAATGTTCCTTAATGCAATTACTTCTAATTTAGACTAACTCTATATTGTTATAGAAAAGAAGGTCAGTTGTGCAACTTGAAAAAGTGTGTGAATGCAATAATTGGACTGTGATTGCTGTATTTTCAATGCAAGTAAAAATCTAGTGGTTATTTTTACTTTAGAAAAAAATGGGTCAGTGTATTCATGCAAAGAATAATGTTTTAATACAAATTTGAGTTTCAAACATTTTGTACTCCTTATAAATCTTAAAAGCTTTATGTCCACAAGGTATATAGAAGAAAGCAAACACAGAAGGGAGGATGGTTATTTACGTATTCTAAAATATAAAAAAAAACCTGCCTGAAATTATATAACATTTGATCTTATACATTAGATAATTCATTACTAGGCTGAGTACTGCAGAAAACCGAAGGTAAGTGAAATATGCAACTGATACCAATTGTCAGTACTTGTTTCTCCTGCCATAATCTTTGTTCCATTTTTGTTCCTTAAGAGTGAAAGTCTTATTGCAAAATTTACTCATGCTAAAAGTAATTTGCTTATGCTAAAACACTTTCATGAAATGCTTTTTTATAGTTAACTTGGCATCCTGGAAACTACGTGTTTTATATTATGCACTTTACTGGACAAAGTGACGAATAAATTAGAAATTGGAATATTTGAGCCATTCAGAAATTGAACTAGTGCACAAAGCTGTTTATCAGAGCAGAGGTTTGTCTTTCTGAAAATCATAGGATTAGAAAGGACCTACGTTAACCGGGGTCTAGGAGCTGCCTCTCTGCCATCCCAGGGGGTTGGGCTGTTCATTTTGAAGGAAAATCGTGTGTCTTCCTTACTCCTACTCCTTACTCCTTAGGAGTAGGAGGTGTTTTTTCATTTCTTTTGCTTCATTTATTTTTGACCCTGGTGCTTAGTGGTTTGTAGGATTGATGTAATAAATGATCCTTTCCAGTGTGGGGTGTGGATGGACTTTGACCATCAGACTTCAAGTCACTTTATCACTTGGATGAAATGGAAATTCTCCTTAATGTCCTTCTAGGGAAGCAGTGTTTGTTGCAAGTTCTGGGATGGCTTATCTTCTTCCATGGCTTCCACAGTCTGTCTCTTCTCATTCCCCCATAGTTAGTGTGAGTGGAGTTACCTTTTCCTAGAATAAAACACAGCAATAATTGAACATCAGAATTATACCTGAGGCACTGCTTTGCAGGTAATAGATTCAAATGAGTGGCACTGAAACCCTCAACCCCTTTAGTTTAAATTTTACCCCAATTATGGTCATTGCTGAATTTTGAGTATCTACCTCCCCAAAGTTGCATTCTTAGTAACTTCCACTGAGTACCCTGGTTTCAGAGATCAGGTTTCAAGGTATAGGGGCAAAAAGGATGACAAAGCCAAGATAACAAAATAGTTCGATTCCAAATCGACTGAGGAATGAACTTTGACTTGCCCTCTGGGGCTCAGTTTACCTGTTTATTGGGTGGGTTTGACTGAAAGTCCACCCCTGAGCTTTCCAGGTGTAGGAATTGATGCTTCTTCTTCTGCATCATGATTGTGTCTTACATTTGGTAACATGTTTTCTCGTTCTTCTTCATCCTCCCAAGGTAACTGACCAGTGGTGACAACCCTCAGTTATCTCTCCTTGTTTCAGTGGGTGGCCTGGTTCGTCTCCCTGCTGCTTCTTTTACAAGTGATTTTTCCCCCTTTATCAGTGGTTATATTTTCTCTCTCCTGTGAAGAGTCACCAAAATTCAGAATTCTCATTCTAAGAAATCTTGTTTTTTGTTGCTTCAGCTACTGTGTGAAAGTGAAAGTCACTCAGTCATGTCCAGCTCTTTGCGACCCCATAGACTATACAATCCAGGGGATTCTCCAGGCCAGAATACTGGAGTGGGTAGCCTTTCCCTTTCTCCAGGGGATCGTCCCAGCCCAGGGATCGAACCCAGGTCTCTTGCTTTGCAGGCAGATTCTTCCCCAGCTGAGCCACAAGGGAAACTCAAGAATACTGGAGTGGGTAGCCTATCCCCTCTCCAGCGGATCTTCCCAACCCAGGAATCAAACCAGGGTCTCCTGCATTGCAGGCAGATTCTTTACCAACTGAGGTATCAAGACTGTATATGATCATAAAATTGATTTTTTCCATATTTGTCCTCCAAAGAATTATTCCTTAATTTTAATTTCTTATAAGAAAGCCCCTTGGATGGCCTACTTTAAATAAGTGGAACATCTCCACAAATCTGAATTTTGAGGGCTTCCTTTCAGTAATGCCACAGTATGTATAGTTACAAACCCTTAGAATAGTTTTCTACTTTTTAAAACATTCCTTTAACTCGTTTTCCCCCAGGTCCGTCATTCTAGAGGAAACTATGTGATATTTGTCCAATTTTAAGAAACATTATTATATTTCATTTAGATGTCTTTAGTGTAAAGTGAACCCAACAATTACAGACTGGTGAGGGTTTCGGGGGGCCTTCTAAATATATGCATAATTAAGATGAATTTTTAAAATGTATTTCATTAAAATATAGTTGATTTACAATGCTGTGTTAATTTCTGCTTTACAGCAAAGTGATTCACCTATATATATATTATAATGCATGTGTGTGTGTTCAGTTGGTCAGTCGTGTCAGTCTCTTTGCAGCCCTGTGGACTGTAGCCCACCAGGCTCCTCTGTCCGTGGGATTGTCTAGGCAAGAATACTGGGTTGTCATTTCCTCTCTGAGGCAGATTCTTTACCACTGAGCCACCTGGGAAGCCCAATATTATAATATATATATATATATGCATGTATGCATATTATTTTTCATATTCTCTTCCATGATGGCTTATCATAAGATATTGAATTTAGTTCCCTGTGCATTGCAGTAGGATCTTACTGTTTATCCATCCTATATGTAGCCATTTGCACCTACTAATCCCGAACTCGCAATCCATCCCTCCCCAAGGTGCCTCCTTCTTGGCAACCACAAGTCTCTCCTTTATATATGTGAGTCCGTTTCTGTTTTGTGAATAAATTCATTTGTGTTGTATTTTAGAGTCCACATATAAATGAAATCATATGTTAGTTTTCTTTCTCTGTCTTACTTCAGTTAGTATGATAATCTTGAGGTCCAACCATGTTGCTGCAAATAGATTTATTTCATCCTTTTTTGTGGCTGAGTAATATTCCATTGCATATATGTACCACATCTTTATCTGTTTAGTTAAACAGATTGTCTAATGGTGTCAGTTAATCAAAGATTTGGAAAAAGAAGGCAGTGTTATAGAGTGAAACAAGCTGGGTATTCTGTGGAATAGAATGTATTATGTTTAATGCAAATGTCTTCTTATGTTTGTGAAAAAATAAAAGAGTTTAAGGGCTTCTGTGGCAGTGAGTCTCTGGGATCTTCCCCAAGCATCTCTGCCACACAGACGGTGGATACTCAGGGAAACATGAAGCAATCAGAAATAATGTTTAACCAGCTCTTTTTAGAATGGGAGATTTCAAGTGTGTTGTTTTATTTTTTTATTTTTTTGTGAATGTCAATGTGATACCCATTTATTTTTTTTTATTTTTTTTTCATTTATTTTTATTAGTTGGAGGCTAATTACAATATTGTGTTTTTGTTTTTATAGCCACAGGTTTGCTCAAGGAGTTTATTTGCTTCTTTGTTCAAAATCAAGTAAAATTTATTTGCAAAAAATGAAAAGCATAGTAAATTATATATATATACATATATTTATGTAGTAAATTATATATGTGGTATGTAAGTATATTACATTTACTTTGCACTTATATGTTACTTGCTATGCACCTCAATATATTTACTGTGCTCTTCAATTATGTATAATTATTTATGTTGAATATTTCAAGTATAAGCAATGTTAATATTTAAAAATCACCTTTAGCACAATATTCATAATGGAGGTAGGAATTTTTAAATATATTTTTTAACTGGGAGAGTGATATAAACAGAAATGTTTCCAAAAATGCTACTGCTAATAAATGGCTTCAAACCATCAGGCACATAACTCAAAACTTGTTCAGTGTGCGACATCTGAATTAGATTGAAAAGGGTATAAGAAGTGGAAGGAAAAGGAAACTTTGAGGAAAAGCCCCTGATCCAGGAGTGTTTTGGAACTGAATGGAGCTCTGGTTCGCTCAATGTAGGGCCAGGCCTTAGGATATGAGGGGGGCTTTGGGCCTAATGTAGGTATAGCCTGGCCTTTGTAGCCTGAGGTTTGCCTCACTAAGAATGAAGGCTCTTCATGAAGAGCATCCTTATGTACACCCTGTATTTACCAACACATGAAGATGATTGTGGTGATAGTTATCATAATAATGATAAGTATTCATATATCTAAATGGTTGAAACCAGGATGTTTGCATTTCTAGAGCTTTTTCCATGTACCCCTAAGTTATACAGGCACAGGTGTGTGTGTATAACTGCAATCCGTGATTGGTGACAAAAACATTGTGATTAGAACTTTTAGCTTTTTTGAAGAAGACACCCATAAATGTAAAAGTATTATCAGCTTTATAAGCTAGAAACTACTTAATTTACTTTATCATATTAGTGAATATCTGTCTCTCCAAGACTGTACCAGGAACAATGGGTATTTCAAAATTTAGAAGCATTATTCCCAGTGGACAGAAATCATTCACATTTGAAATAAACAAGAATTGAA